ACGAGGTTATCTTAGACAAATTAGACAATCTAGCCATCTGAGCCTATTTTGATGTCCCAGGTTTGTTTGATTATATAGAGTGCTTCCTTGTCTCATATTCTAGTCAATTGCTCATTCTAGCGCTTTGTTCCATGTCGAACCCATCTGAAACCAAGCATCCATCAACCACTACTCAGTCTCTTTATTCATGAAGACACCAACTCGGTCAAAATAACCCGACAGCCCAGTGGTGCCAGAATTCCGCCCTGTATAGATCAGCATACATCATGATAGCCCACCAGAGAAAGAACAAAAAACATACCGGCGTCATCTTCAACCTATACTCAGGATCAACAACCCAACTAACCCTCCCCAGCAAAACAAACAACAAAATCTTCACCTGCAACAACGCAAACCCCTGCCCAAGACACTTCCGCTTATGCGCATTAAACGGAATATACGTTCCACGAACCGTCTCCCTCCGAAATCGCCCCTGCATCTCCTCCACAGTCTCCCCCCACCTCTCCGCCCGGAACTCGCGCGCATCCTTGCCCCATACATCCGGGTTACTATGCACCGCCCACGCATTCCACCCAACAAACGTACCCTTCGCAATGGGCAGTTCCCCACCCAGCAGCGCCGGCTGCAACGCAACCCGGTTAATGAGCTGAGAAACAGGCGGGAAGAGACGAAGTAGCTCCAGCACCACGGCTGTCAGGTACGGAAGACTGTTGATGACTTCCTGGGATGGATTCGGATGCGTCTTGGTCGTAGCGAGGATCTCCTCCCGTAGTCGATCCTGGATGTCGATTCGAGTGCCCAGCTGCCAGAACATAGATGTCACGAGTTGTTGGGCGTTTTCGTGAGCCGTTAGGAAGGTTATCTTTAGGTTATCGCGGAATTGTTTCTCATTTATCCGGCCTGACAGGTATGCTTCGCCCAGCATGTGCGAGACCATTTCTTCGGACTGGGTGGGTTTGTCTTGCTTGCGTTTGCGGAGCATTGCCATTATCATTGTGTAGAGTCGGTTGTCGAATTCGTGCATTATGTTGTAGGCGCGTTTGCGGGATGATAGGAGCCAGGGGAAGTGGTCGAGATCTGGGAAGCTGAAGTACATTGGTTTGAAGAGGGTTGCTTTGATTATGGATTGGAGGGCTTCGATTCGGACGGCGCCGTTTGGCTGGCCCAGGCTCTGGGGTTGGTTAGCTTTTCAGTTGCAGCATTGGAGACTGGATTTCTGTTGGAGAGGCCAAGACGAGGTTGATACTTGATACCTTCAGATCCAAGTCCAGGAAGTTCTCGCCCATCACATCCACAGCCCATTTCTGTACATCTGCCATGACCAGGATGCCTTCATTCGGTCCAGTCTCCTTCTGCAGATCGATCAGAATATCCACCAGCTTCCTCGACTGCTTCAGCAAAGACGTCGTCTCGAAAACCTTTTTCTGCAACCCGGCCTTCATAATACCGGTATAAAGCTTCCAATTCTCGCCATGGGCATTGATGATGTTATCACCGACAAGCGTTGCAATCACAGCGTGCGGGATCTTCTTCTGGCTTCCGGCTTTCGCATATATTTGTTCATTGCGGAACATATCGGTCAACCAATCCGGTCGTGAAACGAGTACACTCCATCGTCCAGCGAACCAGACTAGCACAGCGCCATGCTTCTCTAGTGGAGCTCTGAACCATCGCTCGTAGATCTCATCTTGGCCCATTGAGGACCAGAGACCGAGAATTGAGACGTAGATTGGGATTCTAGGGAGGTTTGGGAGATTTCGTGGGACGTGGAGATACCAGATTAGGAAGAGGAGCGGTGGGAGCAGGAGGCCTCCGAGTGCGGAGAGAAGTGTGGAAGGTAAGGCCATGCTGGGTGTAGTTCGGTGGATTTGGTAGAAACCGGAATTGAAGGAGGTTAGAGAAGAGACTTGCTACTCTCTCGCTGATACTATATAGCGAGTTGGGTGTCTACCTGGCGCTCTGTACCCTAATGCACCTGGTGTCAGCGGAAGTCAACGTGGCTCGGCTGATGTCACACTGTCCACCATCAACTTCTTTGGTCAAAGTTATGCTGTATTTTACTGCTAGGTGGCTTCGGTTTTGAGGTATGACGTGGTATATTGGGTTTGAAATGGGGTTGTTCGCGCAACGTTTCTGTGTAGTGAGAGATATATATTGCATAAAACGAGCTAAACTCTTCGTCCTTGGTATTCGTTGTCATCGAGATCAAGGAAAGCCCAGCTTTCTCCAGGGGAACAGGCAAGTAAGTTTTAGTGCCATACATAGTGGCGATATCCCCTCACAAAGGGAGATTATAGGATGTGGCGTTTGGAGACGACTTGCGACGAAGGGCACGTATGTGGCCTACTATTCGCTTTGGCTGGCCCTTCGCTCATTAGGAATCCTGTCCTCGCTCTGAATCGGAGCGACACTGGATCGAATAGGATCCATTAGGGTCATCTATAATATAGAACAGCAGCCTCAAGCTTCATGTAGTCTCATGCTATTCAGAGGAGAAAGTTACTTCTCTTTTTAGGTATGGGAATCAGGTTGTTTTCAAAGACAGAGTTGAGATGTATACTAAATGCAAAATGATATCAAGCGACGTGCTCACGTCATTCTCGAACATGTGACTACAGTCACCAAATGTCTGCGAGGTAGGCAGATAGGCGTTGTCTAGGATCCTGCCAAAAGTGTAGCAGACAGGGAGAATCCGTAAAATACAGTGGCTACCATGGCGATCGCATTCAAATGGATGGCCATTGCGTGATTTCGCGAAAAGGTGCGGTTAGCCCGGTGCACCTTTGACCCATCGGGTTCAGCATCAGTGTTCTCACTCTCTGCAGGAAAAACGAATGTTAGCCGTATCAATGAGGCAAATCAAGGTAAACCCACCTTGTAGTGCCCTCCTGACCAACGTCGCAGTCGTCGTCCGAGGGCCATAGATGAACCAATTCAGACATCCAGTCAGACCGGCGACAGCAAGAGGAGCTACACTCCATGGGTCTTGAACCAGTGATAAAATACTGTACGGTGGGTGTGTTGCGGCCGTCAGGGCTGTGAGTCCGACTTGGGTTCCGAAGTAGACGGGGAAAAGGCGCTTTTGGAGGATGATGAACTCCTTCATTGGCAAGGCTTGGAAGCATATTTTTGTATTGATGAAGCTCTGTATGTGGTAAGTCGCGAGTTTGATTGTCTCTTCGAGGATAGGAGACGTACCTGATAGAGCTCGGTTCCGAGAAGAGCTCCGTAGGAGAGAAGATGATATGGGAGGAGGTTTCCCACTGTCTTGAGAAAAGACTCCATTCCGTCAAGCTCCTCTGAAGATAAAATTAGACTTGATGCGACTGAGAGAGGGGAAGATGATAAAGTTGGAGAGAGTGTGTGGTACTATTTTACTATTTGGGGTGGCTCGGCTGTCAACGGAATCCTTGGCTGCTTACTGGCTGAGATGTCGACCAACAAAGTCAAGGCTGATGGACATTGGTTTTGATTCTCTTTGTTTAGATGGTCGTAGTCGTATCATGCAGATATTGGCTTGTTCTCCTTACATTCTACTATAGCAGGCTATATGCTGAATTGCTTCATATTACACTCATGGGCTGCACAAAGTTCTTCCTATTCCAAGACCATCTCCAAGACCATCACAATGCAGAAAACACCAACCACTTTAATAAAACATCTCCGCATCATGCAGTTACACAAAGAGATTTGCCAGAATCCGATCCAGCGACAAACCGAACCGGATCTTCCGCCAGTCCCTACAGCTGGATCTCACATGCATATATCCCGGGAGAATGGAAGAGCGGTCACAGTGACACCACATAGAAGTGTCCTAGGTTCATGAAAGAAGTTCGTTGACACTCTAAGCTGTTGGACCGAGAATGGAGAATCAGCCCATCTATGACGCCACTGCATAAGTGGCTTCTTTAGGAGGCTCTCAGTGCGATACCCTTTGACACTGGAACAAACTGAGAACAATTGAGAAGGTAATGTGAAATTGAGATGGTAATGTGACCTCTCCCAAACCCAGAGTAAGAGAAGCTATAAGATAACTGGCGGTTTGCGTCAAGCCCGGAGTATATCCAGCGTGAGCTCATTATTCTTGCATCGAGGGGCCATGGCCCGCCATGTCTTATTTTTAGACTTCAGATTGGACGTTGTACTAGTGTACTAGCCTCGCAACTGGTAGCCTGTTACCATAGCCCTGGCCTCCCTGTCTTTCTATGCACTGTTGATGAGTGTGGCCTGGAGACAGATAAAGCCCAATAGGAGCTCGTCTGTCTGGTTTATTCTCAGCTTGGACACAAGATCATGGCGATTTCCCTTGCCACGTGGAGTCCGTGTAATCAGGTAGGATACACGCTGAATACGGAGATGTCTGAGTCTACAAGAAGGTACTTTGATGCCGACATGTGATTTGAAGTATAAGTAGGCGGGGATAATCGTCCAAAGTACCGGGGCCAAGTATCCTGAGGGAAAAGGTCGCACCGGCTTGCCACGTCAAAGGGCCTAAAACAAGGTTGCTGGGCCCCGGCACACGAGTCTTGAAGCCATCCAGCTGGGTCAGAGCTGAGAGTTTCGTGGAGTTGCTGAATCCCAGACTGTTGGAAAGAAAAATGAGAGAATTCAGGGCAACGCCATGTCCACGCACACGTCCAAGCCGAGGATAGCCTCTGATTACACCTCGTACGACCATCCTGAAACCTTCTCCCAGAATGCCCAATTCTGCACAAGAGCCTTGTCCCCAAAGAGTCGCGAAGCTGAGGAAGGCAGATATTTTGACATGGCCAGACCAAACGACATCACGCGGCTGAAAAGGCGCAGGGTGAACCAGTGACTTTCAGACCGAATCACTTATCACCAAAGATCCGTTGTACAGGCTGCGTCACACAGTGAGATCAGGCGTAATTTTCCCTCGTGGGCGCACGGCCGGTATAAAGCAAAGAGAGGCTGACGGCGATGGATCTTTTACTCTTGAGTTTCCGGGCTTAACCCTTGGAGACTCGAAATCTCTGCCGATGAAATTATATGGGATATGCAACATCCTGAAGCTCGAAAACATCTGCCAACGCTATAGCACAATAACCCTCTGCAAGATGAAGATAGAAGATCAGTCTAGCCCCAAAGACGAGGATATCCTCAGCCAAACACAAGATCCGTTGGAAAGAAGGAGATTGCAAAACCGCCTTTCTCAAAGGAACCACCGTAAGTTATTGCCCCAAACAGAGAGGAAGACTTTGAAACTGACAGAACCAGGTCGCAAGATCAGGGAACGCATTGCAAAGCTTCAAGAGCGCGTCATCGCCAACGAACTGAGAGCTGCAGCTGCTCTCAACGGATGGGACCAGGCATATAACCCTTCAATGTTCCCAAGGCCTCAATCATCTTCGGAGAATGAGCTCGGATTTACCTCGCGAGACGTCTCCCCTTTCATCCCAGACCAATGTACTTCATTCATGCCATCATATCCCCCGTTCTCGCAATCATGGCCAAATGACCTAAACACATTCCCACAACACGGTTATCCTGGCGATCTATCCCAATTTACCGGAGTCAGTGAAGCAAGTCCAATATCTCCTGTGACAACCACGCCAACACAACCAAACAATGGCATGTCAACACCCAGCTCTGGACTCGCTGGAGATACATATCGGGAAATGATAGGTACCTCGGAGACCTTGACACCAGACTCCTTGCCTACATCATCGCCCAATCAGCCGCTGTACTACGTTGCGACTGGTCAGTACTCCAACTACACGGTATAGAATGTGTCACGTGAACCAAGCAGCTGACAAAAGGCAGAAGAGGCATTGCCGCAGATCATCCAGGTCATCAACACCATGTCTCCCCAATACAAAGTGATCGTTCTGGTTCCTCCCGATTCTCCAGCGTCGGCTTCTATGGCTTCGTTCCCTTCACAAACCACTCCCTACGGTGCTGGTCATAACGGGTCGGACCATGGCCCTGCAGCACAGCAGCCGAGCTCACAAAATCTGGCTTGTCTATGTTATCCCCAGAATATTCACTCTGGACCTCCTGCTCACTCTGCTTCAAGACCATGGATGGGTTCAGGGTCATATGTGCAAAATTGTCCTCTACACAAGACGGCAAATCCAGTGCCCCCAAGGGGAGCTTTTCCTGTTAGGATGGTGTGAGTCTGTTGTTGTGTATAAAGATAGAGGTGGTAGGGTAGGGGTCGACAGTGGAATATACACAAAGAGCGGGCATTGATAAATTGTGCATATATCACGGTTTCTAGTGTCTAGAGAACAATGTTTCTAGTCTTTAAATATCAATAGGGAGGATCTCAACGATAGTGGGTTGGAAGAAAGAAACTATCAAGTTGGCCATATAAACGAGGATACTTTGATGTCTACTTACGATCAAAACTAGATTGAATTGGAAGACGCCTTTTGATGAATAGAATAAGGCAAAAAGTGAAAATATCAATGGCAATTTTTATCCTTCATGGGTCTACGTAACTGAGCAGACCAAAAGGGCAAAAGGGGAAATAACCAAAGTTCGAGTCGAAAACGACTGACGAAGCACGGAAGATATAAAGACACCAGACACGAATTCTATTGGATATGGCATTGAAGACTTGTGTAATTGCTTCAACATACTGGGCAATTTAACATCAAGCATAAGCCAAATATGCGAGAAAGAAAACGAGTGACCAAGCGCTGACAGAAAAGAATGACAGAAAACAAACAAGTAATCAAAAACCAACACACATAAACAATAAACATCTCAGTCACAGTGGATTCGCCACAGTTCCCGGTCACAGTCACTGATATATCCAGTGCGAGTATGCAGCATAGCAGTGTTATCACTAACCAGCAGATCACCCTTCTCCCAAGCAAAGCGAAGACAAACTCTGTGGTCGTACGTGATGCGATCCACAACCCTGACCAAGTCATTATCGTCATTCTCAATTGTAACATCACAGGTGGAGAATTTGGTCTTGGTCGAATCCCAAGGCTGATGCCAACGTAGACACGGTAGTCCAGAGACAGGATGCTTCACGATCAAGTGCAGGTTGTTGAGCTTCGCATCCCAGAACCCATCATTATCCATCGCCCAGGTAACCTTTTCAAGACGCTCAGCAGTCCAAGGGAGAGGCAGGTACCGGAAAAACAGTCGGGAGCTCGCAAACAAGGTGTACCCGTTGCCCTTCGGCGCAGTGGCAGGACAAGTGAAAAACTGATAGCCGGGTGGATGTTGGACTTTCTTCTTCTCGCCCGTTTCTGGGTCTGTGATCTCGTCGAATTTGAACATCCCATCGAAATGCATCGGCATGGCCTCGTTTGAGGTCACGTTGTTGCCCATCTTGTCGGAGCGGCCGTTGTCCCGTACCTTTTGGATTATGCCGAAGCTCCACGGGAGAATGCTGCCGAGCTCTTCTCCCTTCTTAACGTAGAGTTCTTCCTCTAGAGTCTCGGAAAATCCTCGTAGGACAATTGGCGACATGCCGTTCGACAGTTGGCGGACCTTTTTCATGGGGATGGAGCGGATTGATGGTGGTGGATTGACATTGTCGATATCGGCAGGGCGGATGATGAGTCCGCAGGGATAGAGATGCTCGAACTTGACGGATAAGCCGTCCGAGGTCCAGTCAAAGAGACTTGATCTCTCGCGGAAGAAATAGGGTTGTCCGTTCTTATAGATGAGGTCGTGCGTGTCGCGTACGTCTTCGGCATGGACCGTGCGATACGTACCGTCCAGTCCGACAGCCACAGAGGAGTGCCAAGGTGTGAAACCCAGTGAGCCTCGGATTTGTGGAATAAGCGAGACAGAAAGCTTTTTCTCGCCCGCGGACTCGTGGATAGACAGTCGTACATAGTCTTTACGGTTAGCTCTGATGGCCGCCGCGAACATTTTGCCCCGAATGATCATCTGCCGTGCCGTGTCGGCAATCTGAGCTTGTCGAGCGCGCTTTGACATAGTTTTGTCCTTGTCTTCCAGATGCGCTAGATCTTTGGTCAAAAACTTGATGTAACCGCGATATGTCAGGCATGTATCATTGTCGGTTTTGATAGCCTCCGTCGCGTCGAAGGTCGGGTCAGCGAAGGTGTACATCAGTTCTCGACGGAGACAACTAGCATGAGCGAGATAGGTTGCCTTGGCAGCCTCCGGAGTTGAGGATGGGAACCATGGATGCTCGAGAAGTTCGAAAAGACGAATGAATTTGACATGATGGAGCTCTTTCTCAATGGCCATTTTTCGCAGAGTTTCTCCATAGTCCCAAACGGTTTCATCGGGGACGCCCAGGATATCTAGAATATGTCAGTATGGAATAGTTATGAATATCCATTTTGGTGATGTTTTTACCATTGTATACCAGTCCATCCGAACTGATGTAGACGTCGGCACCAGGGGCGTATACTTCGCCGATGTTTTGGCAAAGTCCATTCAAATGGGCCAACGCCAATTCTTCACCAAAGTCGGGCATAGTGCCCAGCACTTTATTGCGCGAATTAGGTGACTTGAAAGGGAATGCGGGCAAGATCATCCGGATTGGCTCTTGTCTGACAATTTGCTCCAGGACAACTGGAACGAAAGACTCAAAGCCCTTCCAGGAAATACCCGCTTTCTCATAGTCAACACCATAACTTTCGATAATCTTCAATACCTCCATGGTCATCGATTCATTTTCAGATAGAGCATGCGAGCTCTCAGAGGCGATGGATCCGTTGATCCCATTTTGTTCGTGTTTGGTACCATTTCTGTTTGAGGTAATAGCCGGATCGGCGCTGTCATATTCAGGAGGCTTAACCTCCACAGTCTTCACGCCGACTTTCTGATTGGGCATTCCATTGTCCAAAGACGGCATTCCATTCCCGAGCTTGGGGTGGTATGTAGTGGGGACAATTTCCGCACCGGGTGCCAAGGCGACCATTGTGACTCGAAGTGGAATGTATGTTGCCAACGGAGATACTCAGAGGCAGGCACTGTTCTACCCAGAGACAGTAGGAAAAAAGGCCTGATTGAAGAGTAACTGTATTGGTCTCACTTTAGTCCTGAGGAAATAGATATTTGTTGTTTTATCTAGAACCACATGGTGCTATATAACCAGCATCAGTCAGAACACTGACCTCGGGACAGGAAATCTGGAAAGTTCAACCCTCCGTTCCGATGACTGTAACTCCTGATGCGGACTAAGAAGTTGAGTCTTAGGTTCAACCTAGGGCATCCCAGGCTCGAATGGCCATCACCCTGTACAACTTGGGGGGTATGTTTTCCTACTGTAATTGGGCCCATGAATGAGATCATGGTGGAGGAAATTTGTTAAAGAGCCTTGGTCAACTTAGTAAAAGGGCTTGAGGTTGAATCGCGAGCAGGCTAAATCCTGAATCTGGGAAGTCTAAACCCAGAAAGCTTCACTTATCCTTTCGGTAGTGTCAGCAAAGCTCGCGTATAACCGAAGAATGATGTGACTTGAGGGATATTCCCAGAGTAAATGTGAAAAAGCTTTGATTATTCATTGTGTCTGATGACTAGAGATGCATCCAAGTTTCAGATCCATTGGACAAGCGAAAGGGTTGTGCCTAGATGTCAATGAGGCTACAAGGTTGGTCTCGGGATCCCCGGCAACCCGCCAATGCTAGGGACCTTGGAAGTGACGACAAAACCTAACTGGGTGATCCTATGCAGATTCAAGACACATGTAACCCATTGTGACTTAGATCGCTGAAATCTTAGCGGCAACAACGGTCCGATCCACAAGGAAGTGGCAACGGAAGTGACTCCACGGTATTTTAGTATTTTAGCCGTTGATTAATCATGAGAAGACGTAAGACAACGAGCCCAATAGGGCGATGGACCTTTCCCAGGCTGAGGCTGTTAAGAAATGCTTATTTGCTGGAATTCTACCGCCCCGTGACATGTACATTGGATTTACAAGAAAATAGTACAGAGATGTATAGATTGTCTAATTGGAGCCAAGCACGCGTGTTGTGCACCTCTTCTGCTGTGTTCAGATTGCACCGCCGTGCTTGATCAACAATGTAGCATTACCGCTAAGCATGCAGCTCACTCTTCGATCTCACGCCAATCATACTCCATAACCCGAGTGATAAATGCTGCCATGTCAGGTGTTGTCAATTGACTGACAAGGTAGCATGTGGCGTCCAAACCTGAGCTTACCCCTCCCGCCGTGAGGAGTTGAACACCGCCACCCTTCAACAAACCTCCATTAAGATATCGCTTGTGCAGTACAGTCGTAGCAGGCTCACCCGGAGCATTAGTACGAGCACAAATATCTCGAAGTCTGTCAAGACCATGATGGTGGGTCGTCACAGTCATTCCGCCGAGTACGCCCGCAGCCCCGAGCAGAAAGGCGCCGGTGCAAACCGACAGCAAAATCCGGGTGCCTGATGACGAATCTGCAGGTAGCGCTGCAAAGTTGCGAATTAAATCAAGCTCCGGTACGTTATTCTCGATTAATGGCTGCAAAACTGACGGGGGGCCACCTGGGATCACTAGGATATGAAATTCTGAAATCTGATCGACTGCGTCTGGCAAAAGCAGGTCTGCGTGAACTGTAAGCGAATTCGCGGCACGAATCGCGGGGCTGCAAGCGACGGTTTTGATTTCGAACATTCTGTCGGGCCTTTCTGGGTTTCGGTTGTGCGAGACATGGGATAGTACTTCGATTGGGCCTGCGAAGTCGAGGATGTCTGCGCCTGGAAACAGGAGGACCCCGACTTTGTAGTACTTGTTGGAGGATTCAGGAGACATAATGGCAATAAATTGCGATCTGGTCTTGAAAGACGTACCGAAGTAGATGTCTTTTGATGGAAGAGTGAGAGGGATAAATAATAGTAAGATTCCTCGAGCTGATTCTGGGTTTTGCTTGGAAGAAATTAGGAAGGCTGAGGTTGAGGTGCATTTTACCTCGGCGCGTTTCTGACTATGCTGACTCCGGCGAAAATAACTGCCCGACTTTGTACTACCGTGGTCTCCGCATTCGCCGATTCGACTGGAGATTTTCGCAGGTCCAATAATATCGACCGTAGTGCGCTTGGAAATCGAGCGGTCTCGGATATTGGTGCAGGAAGCCCGGGCATGTAAATATATCACATTGAGTGATCTCATGACTTACCCAGGGAGATAAGATCAGGTGAAATGATCGACGTTTGAAGAATCCCAGGATAGAATCTTGAATGATAGGATGAGACGAGAGATTATATATAGGGCAAAGGTTGGATGTCTGAGGCTGTCCACAGCCCATTGGGTAAAACTGCAAGTCCGCACCTTCTTCTTGATGTCTTCTAGTCATATCTTCAACCGGTCTTGATACATGCCTAGATCCCGGAACGCCAGCATCCCGCTGCGGGACGCAACGACTTGAGGAATACTTCCTCGTCATCCTTGATATTTTTCGTCAGTTTATGCCTACCATGGAGAGTGGTGCTCGACAAAGCCTCCACCTGATGTCTTTGTCTTTAAGGTTGCAAATCAGATGCGCAGATGGATATACCTGGATCATATCAGTCACTGCAGAGAGAACTAAGATAGGAATAATGCATTACAACTACCATGGTCTAGTAATACTAATCGGGAAGCCATTAGAGCATGTCAGAGTCATCTATGGTATCCTTTGTAGTCGAAACTCCAAGTCCCGATTGAGGTCCTTCGCTTAGGGCTAATATTAGTCATGATATAATTACCCCCGGCGCCTGAGCTTCAGGTCTCCAGGGATGTGGTCTCACTCTGATAGCTTGTCGCTATACGGACAATGGGCAATCAAGGAGCTAAAATTGAATCTCAAAGTAGAAGGAGGAAATGGCATGAGTCGACTAGAGACTGAAGCAAGTTTACTCCGAATCTTCATAGAGAGATAGCGTCTTTGCGTGAGTATCGATCGGGCTACAGTAAACGTATTAGATCCGAAGTGTCGCGACCTAAGATTCTGTAAAGGAGATTATACACATGATAAATGTTCAACAGCGCATATCACACTGGAGGACCCATTCAACTCGTAAAAACAGCCTCGCCTCCGGCAAATTTAAGGAAATAAATTTGCCAAAAATAACCCCAATCATGAGATGGGCCAAAAAGTAAACTCCGGCGCCGCGCTGAAGAAAAGCAATTGAAAAACTAAACGTTTTCGGGGGACAGATCGCCTCCGATCCCTAGCCCCACAGGGGTGGATGAATATACTCTGCGGCGCGATCCATTATATTGGGCATCGTCCATTCTCCACTATGAGAGCTTTCTGGCGTAGGAGGCGGAAGAGAACCAGCGCCGGGGGTCATGTTTGCCTGCCCAGGAACAAGTGTTCCCATAGAGGCCGAAGCCGGGTTGAGATTAGCGCTGGAGTACGCAGGTGTACCATTCCGTCCCATTGGAGGACATGTGGATGGATTCCCAACTGCGGCAAGGAGCTTTTGCAAAGCACGATGCGTTTTTGCAAGCGACTTGGCCCATTGCGTTTGTGTATCAGGGGCTATCCCAGCCGGAGAAGTTGGATCCACCGCAGGAGGGATGGGACCTGGGGCGTTTGTGGTGCCCGTGATTGGGTCGTAAGTGCCGAGGGTTTGGGGCGGCGAGGTCATACTAGCCACAGTTGGGGCCTCATTGGAGTCATAGGCACGTTCCGCGCTTGCCTTTTGGCCGATGATGCCTTCGAGTGAATGGAGAAGATTCCATACATTCGGGTCCGCTTTCGCCTCATCGATGACAGCAAGCAGGAATGCGGAGCTGATCGCCCGCTGCAATAAGATCCAAGAACGAGCTGCGTGGGAGCTGATGTTGTGCATTTCAATGTAAGCTTCGACAGTGGTCATCAGATTCATCACGCAATTTTCGCGCATGCTGGCTGCGTTGGCGTCACTCAGATCAGCCATGGGCTTGAGCGCTGGCCGGCAGAGCTCAGAGGCGAAATAAGAAGAATGCAATTTTAATACAACTCGCTCTAGATGCTGTGTGGGTGTGGAACAACTCATTGCGTCTCGCAGATATGGCTTTGCCTCTACCATGATCTTCTGGATGCGGTCCTTATATGTTTGTATGCTTTCCACGCCTATGCGCGCGTGTGGGCTCAGCATGCGAATGCGGACAACCTCCAGCGCAAGAGAAATGACACGAGAGAGAGTTTCAAAATAGGATAGATTACCAGGTTTGGCGCCATCCCCATAGGCGATATCTGGCTGACTGACTGCAGTGGTGGAAGGCCGATCGTAGGAGAGCGAAAAATGGCTGTCTTGCCATGCCATGGACCACCTATTCATGTTAGCGCACAGACTATCCGGTTATTATGGGGAAAAGTATCTTACCAAACGTGCCGACGGCGGTATCTTTCAGCTGACGAAAATCGACTTGACTCCACATGGAGGCCGAGCGCCAAGCCCATGCGAAGTGTCATGCCAAGCAAGACATAAGAAATTCCAGGATTCATGTTGTATGACAAGACATTTCCTATTACAAGGAGTGTTTGAATTGCCTCAATGGTGGGTTGGGAGAGGAAATTTGTCATACGGAGGCACTGGTAGGAGCAGCAGACTATTTGAGGTGTCAGTCGACAACTCCAATAAGATTCCAGGTGTGGCTCACATACCATAAACTTGTGAGGTCAATTCCCTTTCCTTACTCCCATAATCAGATGACTGGCATCCTGAGGCCAGGATAGCGAACAATAGTCCCAGGTACGCAATGCTCACTCCGAAAGGCTTTTGTGCTTGATCTTCATCGGCCAGGTACTCGCCACCGATAGAGGCTCTTATCCCCAGTAGAAGCTCGAGGGTGTTCTCAAACTCAGAGATATCCTCTAAAACAGGATATATGGCTCCCGAAATGTCCCTGTAGTAGTAAAATAACCTATAGCGAGAAAGCAAAGTTAGCACAAACAATCCCAGTCGAAAGTTCGATTCAGAAGGGCTACTCACTCTCTGCACTGTTGATCAGTGGGAAGAGCGCTGCAGACGGCAGTGATATCAAATGTCGACATGTCGGACGACCATAGATCAACAAATGGATATGTCGCAGACTCATTGTCCAAACCGAGCTTGGGCAGTATTCCTCCTTCCAAAAGTGCTTGAAGCTGATCAGACCCGGACTGATTGTTCAGAATATAAGCCAAAACAGAGCGCGATCCCAAATGGACAGTACCTTTGCCTAGAGTATTAGCAGCGTGGATGCCCTCGCGCTCCGGCGAGGCACCCTTGGAACGGGAACTTGCATCGGCACTCTGCACGCTTCGAGTGTCCATAGAGGTTGGGAGACCGTCTTCCGCCCTCTCTAGCCCAACTCGAAGGGAGGAAATAGTAGACTCCATTTCCTGCAATCTATTGCGCACATTATCCCATTCCTCGCGGGCTATTGAAACACGACCACCACCTGTAGCAGGCACGCTCGGTCGACCCAAGGTCGGCTCATGTTTCCCTTCCGCTGGGGTTTCCTCGTACGCATATGTTGTTGAATATTCAGGTACCGGTGCCGTTGATGCACTAGAAACGGCGCTGTCAGGAAAGGCTTGCGATCGTTTCTTAGAGGGGCGTTCATATGAGCAAAGATCTGCATGGTCGCGCTTAACGCACCCGTCACACGGCAGATTGCGATCGCATTTAACCTTGCGCGCATGACATGGATAGCAGGCTTTGGGCTCGCGAGCCTTGCGCTTCGTGCGGATGATCGCGTCTACCTGAGACTGCGGCAGATCGGACACTGCTCTGTTGGGCGCTGCAGCCATGTCGGAGGCAACGGAGGGCGAGAATGAAGTTGAGGGTGGGTAAGGCGATGTCATTCTGACTTGAAAAAAGGGTCTCCAGCGCAATATATCCTTGGTTGGTCTTGAAGTTGTCGTATGTCGGCCTATACAGCAGTGTTTCATTCGGTCATTGGCAGCATGGAGTTGGAGGAGCGGAAGCGGTTTAGGAATCGGAGGGTGATTCAACGCATTGGCGACAGGTACAGTTCCATAAATTCATTAGTTAAATCAAAGCAGTATGTTAAGCTATGAAAGCTTTGAAATTGCACGCGATTTGTTCAAGGAAGCTGGGATTAAGCGCCGGCACAATGCTACAACGGCACGTGATGTGGGGCGTCCAAATGCGGAATCAAGCCCTACGTCAGTATTGTATATAGGAGACTCGGTATAATTTGGACGTGGGATATTTAGTAGAAGGTAGTAGGTTGCGCATTGTAGAAATTTGAATTCTTCCTGTCCTTCTTACCACACAGTTACATATACAGTCTAACTCAAGCACTGCTACTTATCGTCGGCACGTAACATCAGTGTCTGTGTCGATCGAGCTCAGAAAATGGAATAACATCAATTATTGGCGAGGCTGGGCAAGCAAAAGTTGCCTCAAAATACTATCTAAATCGGTAGTACAGACCATACCTAGGGTATTAGCACGCCCCGTTCGAGCATAGACGACTATATATCCATGGATGTATGCAGCAAGATGCCGTAAGAAATGAGCAATGGGAGAACAACAGGTTTCCTGGTGAGCCTTCAAGCAGACAATTTGGCTTGGACAATGATTATTATTTCTTCTCTGTCGTTCTGCTATTATTAATGTACCCCTCTTCCTTCTGTTTATAGTTATCTTCCACTTCTCCTTTCATTTCACCTCTGTCTTGCACCTTCTTTTGCTCACAACTCTCCTCTTTTGCTCTCCTTTTATTCGACTCTTATAAAATGTGTCTTCTTAATCCTGTTCTCTCCATTAGCGTTCACCACTCTTGCCTTCGTTGGGCTTCACTTAAAGATCGAATTGCGACACGGGTCGCGACTTATGCCAAGCAACTCCCTATTACGGTTGTTATAGTCTAAAACTGACTCCCACAGTTGACAAAAATCAATCGCTTCTTCACCCTTTGTGATTGGCCTTGATGGGCTACCAATCCTTAAGGTCGGACCCCAGCGCCACATATATCTATGTACTCTAAACCACTAATGCTGTTGGTTTCTTAGATTGTTTTCCGGACTTAAATCTCGTTACGCGTACACTTGTCATTTGGGAAAGTGGTTTCATAGGGAGTGTACTTTTCGCTCTATCTATAGGCGTCTAAAAAGTCATCCAAAGAAGCGTCCAAGAGGCATCATTTTTCTACCGTGCGGAACGAACGGCACAATTGTCCCGCCTACATTGTAACAGACCATATTGGACTTATCTTCAGGGGATTGTCTATCAATCCCCTATCTTTAATTGATTGGCAGACTATACCTAGATAGGTGTCGTAATAGAGTCTATTATGGGTCCTATATATGAACGTGGGGAGACTTCTTCCATAAATGATTGGTCTGTTGTAAATAGTCTGGCTCGGCACGTCCTACCGCATTTAGCGAGGACACGGCAGAGCTCTGCGGACAAGTTGATCTGCAGCTATACACTTAACTTATGGCTTTTTTTCAATCAAATCTAGCATAAAGCCCGAATTGATATTGGGAGATATCTGGGAGATTACAATGTCAAAAGCGATGCTTATAGAAGTAAATAAGACGCCATTCTCCTTCTCGTAGCTGGTTGAAAATAAGAACAAAGGAGTATCTCAAGAAGATCAGATAACGTTCAGACAAGCATGATCTTTTCTCCTATGGTGCTACCCGGGGCATCTCTCCATGTAAGACAGGTGGAGCTTGTGCATCAGCTCCAGGAGCCCCACGGGGCATCACACAGCCCGCCCGCCTGGGTCCAGGGGCACTCTTGGGACATCCAGAGCCGGACCGCTTCGAAAACTGCCTGTGTCAGGTATAGCGTTGATAATGTCAGGGTTATTATACGCAATATACAGCATGTCATTGTTGCGCGGGGCTGACGCTGTGTATAGCAGTTGCCGTAGCCATGGGCCATCCAATCTGTTATCATTTTCGCCACACCAACCTCGATATACCTCACATTGGATTCTGACCCATCTCGTCAGCCGCTTTCTATCATTATCTAGTATGGTAACTTCGACTTCAACCACTGGGCTAGTCATTCTGCTATTATCGGCTATAGTTGTTGTGTTTAGCCCCATGACCGTGGATTCAACCTGCGATTCTCCCATGATACGTCGAAGATCACCCTCATATACTGACATCATGGATGCCCCGTTGTCGTATAGAAATTCAAGCTCTGCGTACCACCTTGAACCAGGGATACGAATGGCAATATCATACTGAGAACAAATCAGAATGGTTAAATGGGGATCTTTCGGGGGCATACACTGCGAACAAAGTATCCATTGGGCGGCAGTAGTCCTTCTAAACCAATGGCGGTTAGTGAGTGTGTAGGCCCGGGCCCAACGAGCTATTTGCGAACCTTTTGTATCATTATGACTGTCTAGCAAAACGGACTTCAAGGGCAACTCACTCCTTCCATCCAAAATCCGGTTTTACCAGAATGGTGCGCATTGAGGACCTCAAATTCATCCCAACTGAACGGCGTTAGCTCGCACAATTGCACACCTTCAAACCAATAAGTGACCAGTCCTATGTTCCAATGAAGCATTCATCCGCGGTAGGCCTGCAGCAACGCCCGCACATTAGGGAGTTGATTGAAGTTGTCCGGGCTTTGTAGCTCAAATTCAATTTCCTCAAACTTCCAGCGTCTGAGTACATCCAAACTATGGTTCCCAGGTTCTGGTGCGGCCAATGCACTGTGGGACATTCGATCAGCAACTCGTCTGTTAAGAACGGTAATTTCTCTTACTTTCGCTTGGCCTGAGAGATCTCCAATCCCTTTAGCCGGTGTGCAAATATGCGAGGCAGGATATTCTCTTTGATTCTCACATGGTATCTTTCGATTTGTGCGTCGACATCACTGCGCCATATTCATTAGTATGTGGTCAAATGAGTGGTAGATAAACACAGGTACACCGGCATCGTCAACTTACTCTCGGCCAAGATCCGGTTTAGTCATGCTCTAGCTCTGGAGGTAATTTCTCAGGATCTATCAGCGGGCTATATTGTCGTGGCCATGGCTTCCTTCTCGCCAGTGCTGGTGCGGCGGGCGATTTGAATCGACCGACGTACGACGTAGCCAGATCCGGAAGGAGTGTACCAATTGTAAAATTTTCGTCTCTTGGGACGTCACTGATCAGATCATTCGAAATGGCACATACTCGGCTTGTACTTCACTGGGACGTCCTTGTACGGCTCGGCGTTTCTTTGCCTTGGCTGTCTCGTCCGACGTCTTCCAGCGTTTCCTTCCCTCCTGAGGCATGGATTCCGTGGGTGATCTTGATTGCGATTTTGCCTTCCTGGCGGGCATGATTCTGGTGGGCGCCTCCTCAACTACATGGCGGTTTCTCTTTGATCTAGCCAATGACGTGGTTGTGGTAGTCCCCATATTGAACATGGAGAGCTTGATGCAGCCAGATTGTGGGCAATGTTTGGCAATTATATGAGAGAGTCATTTGATTTTGGAGAAATAGCGAAGATTGAAAGAACGCTGCGGTTTTCTTATAGCTCCAATGCAACATGATGAACATGTAGGGACAAAGACAGACTTTGGCAAGCCTTCGCATCAGGGGCCTCGGGGCTATACAAAGAGAAATAGATGCACATAGTAGCATTAAAACAGTGGCCACTGGCATTTCTTGGTTTGCCTTCGATGGAACTTGGTCAGTTGGGACATATATCAGAAAATATTCTAAGTTCGAACTAGCCGAAAAAATATGACTTTCGCAGCATGAAAGGAAGATGATCCTTGCTTCAGCAGACCTATGCCTCTGATTCTTCGCTTTGAATCCCAGGAAATGTCATTATGAGTAATGTTCTGACATGGAAATGGGGCTTGTTTGAACGATCTGATCCTTTCGAACCTATTTTTTGTTTGCTTGGCACGGAGTTTATTGATCGAACCATTCATTTGTCTTTAATTAATACTCATCTTTTGCTTTTCAGGTGTGTTCTGTGATTATTTCGCCAATAAGAACAAAACTGGTAACCCGTAAGACTGCGTATGAATTGGGAATGTGATAGATGTAAGCTTGGAAATTGAGGGCAACAGCCATTTTCTGATGTTTCCTTGAACCCTAGTTGAGAAAATAAGTAGACATCGGGAATATTATCATGATCGAGACTTGAAGCTGGCTAGGCGGCATATGGCAGGACCTGTGGCCTTCCTTCGTTATTCAGGTCAATGGGCGAGTCGTGGGGGATCAAGGTCAAAATCAGTGGGGCCCTGGGCGGGACGGAATATTCTTAGCCCCGGCTGACCAATCGAGAGTGACGTACCGCCGGGACAGCTGTGTTTAGGTCTATCATCCAACTCAGCTCCATTCCAAGGTTGACATTCACATTGTTTCGCCTCCCTGTGTCTCACGCAAAGGCCTGTTTTTGCTATCAGACCTTCTTTAATTCTTCGCTCGATCTCCTCTTCCAAGTTGGATCCCCGAAACCCGGCAACCAAGGTCAACTATGGAGGGTAACCCCGCCGAGCACGATGAGGCTGTGTCTCAATTCTGTGCTATGACTGGAACTAAGGCTTCCGAGGTAAGATTTTCGCTGGACCTATACGTAATACGACCGCTGATTTGAGTGCGTGATTGTCTAGGCTCAGGAATATCTCGCTGCCAATGGTTGGGACATCGAAGCTGCCGTTACAGAGTTCTTTGCGGAGCAGGACGAAGCCCTGCAAGATACCAGTGCTGGTGGCGAGCGACAACTAGACACAGAGGGTAGCTCTGGAGCTTCCGCGGGGGGTAGAACTCTCGGGGGAAGTGCCGTACCCGCTTCATCTGCCGCAGCTGAGTCCTCATCATCCGCCCGACGCGCTGCGCCCAAGAAGAAGTTTGCGACACTGGGAGACTTTGCTTCGGCAGGAGGTGGTGGCGGTGGTGATTCGTCCGATGGCGATGACACCGACGAGCATGACTTTTTTGCAGGTGGTGAAAAGTCCGGATTAGCTGTGCAGAACCCGGATGATTTGAAAAAGAAGATCCTCGAAAAGGCCCGCAGGTACGCTCCTTCCAGATTGCCTGGAATCCTGAACCTGACTAACGTTCAAACGTCAACAGGGCGCAGCCTCCTCCTTCCGACGCCCCTCAGCAAAGGGAATCACATTTCACCGGCACTGCCCGCACACTCGGTGGTGATGATGCGCCAAGCCAGGTGATTGAGAGCCCCTCGACGCCTTCTCAACAGCGTGCCCAGCGTGTTCAAAGGACCCTTCATTTCTGGGCCGATGGATTCTCCGTTGATGACGGCGAACTGTTTCGATCAGACGATCCCCGCAATGCAGAGATCCTGGACGGTATCCGCCAAGGCCGCGCTCCTCTTTCCATCATGAATGTTCAACCTGGGCAGGAGGTCGATGTGGAACTCAAGCAACATGAGGAGAAGTACACCAAGCCCAAGCCCAAGTACAAGCCTTTCTCTGGTTCTGGACAGCGTCTCGGTAGCCCGACCCCGGGCGTACGGAGTCAGGCTCCCCAGACGCCTTCGTCCTCCACGGCTGGGTCATCTACCCAGGAGCCCGCGAAGCCCAATGTGGACGAGTCGCAACCTACGGTTACTCTACAGATCCGACTAGGAGACGGTACGCGGTTAACGTCTCGGTTTAACACCACCGCCACCATTGGTGATGTCTATGCTTTCGTTGCTGCTGCTACTCCGGATGGTGCAAACCGCGCATGGGTCTTGATGACGACTTTCCCCAGCACAGAGCTCAAGGACTGGGATGTTGTTCTCGGCGACATGCCCGATTTCAAACGTGGAGGTGTCATTGTGCAGAAGTGGCAGTAAAATGCGCTACTAATATTCTCTCTCTTGACACTTTCCTCTTTAGAGTGGTTCCAAAAGCGAATACCAGCAGGACAATGAGTTTGTATGGGTGAACTTTACATGACTTATCTGATACCGAAGGAGAACCTTCATATTTGCTTCGTAGAGCAATGGCATTCGCCCAACAGCTCCAAATTCAAAATAAGTGACCAATCAGACCTCTCATATTCCAAGGTTGTCGAAAGTTCCGAGTTGTAGAAGGTTAGTCAGAAGGCGATTGATAAGCGCCCGAATATCCCGAGGTCGGCCTCCCCACTCTTGAAATTCATCATTGCGCTTTCAGTTGCCACAACTTTTCTTTTCTCCAATTTAGACATACACTATATAAATATGCCTCTTACTGGGGTAAAGAATGTTGTTCTGGTACGCGCGCCTTCAAACCCTTGCGAGTCTTCGGCACGAAAAAAGACAGCCATGTCCCTCATACCTTATCAATACGAGGCACTGCTAGAAGCCATGAGCTAGAATATACAAGCGCATTTTCTTGGACAAGACTAACAAGAGATTATTGAATATTAGGTCCTTTCCGGCAAAGGAGGTGTAGGCAAATCCTCTGTCACACTTCAACTGGCCCTCGCGCTCTCGCTCCAAGGCAAATCGGTCGGAATCCTCGACATCGACCTGACAGGACCCTCAATGCCACGCCTAGTCGGACTTGAAGATGCAAAGATCACACAAGCGCCAGGCGGGTGGATGCCAGTACCTGTCCACGAAGCTGAATCTGCAGCAGGGGCCGACACCTCAGCGCCCTCAACACAACCCCAACGCGGTTCACTCCGCTGCATGTCCCTGGGCTTCCTTCTACGCGATCGCGGCGATGCAGTCATCTGGCGTGGACCAAAGAAAACGGCTATGATCCGCCAATTCCTCTCAGATGTGTTTTGGGGCCCGACTGATTACCTGCTCATCGATACACCTCCCGGAACGAGCGATGAGCACATTGCGCTGGCTGAGCAGTTGCTCACGCTCTCTACCACCGACGCAGCGGCGGTTGCGCAAACTGGCTTGCCTCGACTTGCTGGTGCGGTCCTTGTTACGACGCCGCAGGCTGTGGCGACATCGGACGTGCGTAAAGAGGCGAACTTCTGCGTTAAGACTAACATTCCCGTGCTTGGGGTTATCGAAAATATGTCCGGGTATGCTTGCCCCTGCTGCGGGGAGGTTAGCAATCTGTTCTCCAGCGGGGGAGGACAGGTGATGGCCCAGGAATTAAGTCTTCCATTTATGGGCAGCGTGCCTATTGATGTGAAATTCGGAGAATTGGTCGAAGGAAACATGGAGGCTGGGGATAGTGACGAGGAAGAGGAGGATGAGAGTCCAAAGACTCAATCACCAGATACTCCCGCTGAGCCTGATGATCGGCCGCTCGTTGAACGGTACCGGGATACCTGGTCTTATCCTCGATTTAAAGGATTCGGGAGGACCCTTATAAGCAGCATTGAGGGCCCCACTGCCGTGTAGCAGTGTTGCATGATGAAAAAGTGTGTCTGATTGCTTGTTTTCTAGCGACATCGCATCTTTCCTGCTTTTATTTGCATTGCATCATAGAAGGTGTGTTGGCAGTTCTTGGAATGTCAAATCGTTCGATTGTGAAACAATCACCAGGGCTATACCTTGAGACCGAGCGCGGAGTACCTTTTCCACCAGGGACTGATCTTCTTTCCGTAGGAGAATGCGATTTCCCCTGATCTCCAATTCTCAAACCGCCAAGCTCGTAAAAACCCGTTTCTAGAAGCGAGACCGGGATCAATGCGGGCGTATGTACGGGCGCCTGCCCCCAAAGTAGGCAGTGGGCCATTAAGCCAAGGTGAAAGTGAGTTTTAATTAGCCGAAGATAGCAGACGTAAAGAAGCCTACGGAGTGCTTCGTATGCAAGTAAGTATCTGAACGACCAAACGTCTCCCACGTGGTATCCTAGCATGTTGACTTCTCGGTTTCCCGTTGGATGATTCTAGACCCAATTCACATTGCCAATTTCCTGTATTGAAAAGTTTGCCCTGGAGACATAGGACCGCACAACTGCCCAGAGATGTGCCAGTAGTGACATGCTGCCAAGACTAGGCTGTGAGTCTTCCGCCGAGAAAGATAGACTGCCCAGGCTCTCGGCGCCAAGGTTGAACCCACGTCAAGCTCTATTAAGCGTGCAATGGGATCTCAGCACCCGAGAACGTGCAAATCTACCCACTATGATTGGTCTAGGTTATCCATCGAGAGCAAATCATCGTCGGCGAACGCGGTTCGCCCAATCTTGGCGTCCGCTCGCAGGTCTTGGCGCCAACTCGCGCCCGTCTTTGGTCATGAGAGAAGTTCGCCTCGGGCTCAACCAATAACAGTTGGATATTCAGTGCACGCTGTCAATGATATCTGTATTATGGGCTACGGGAGAAATGAGCAGAGCGAACTCAATATGGATCTGGCTAAGTTCAGGAAAAGTTGTATCACAAGCCGCTTGGCAAGGCTCGTGGCGAGTTTGCAGTTCGTATAAGGATACCATAAAGTCTGCACATTGCTCGGCTTGCGACCATCCATTCCTTTTCTCATCCTTCGATTTTACCTTGTTGTGTGGTAAACACAGCCAAGATCTTCTTCGCCATGGCACCCGCAGCAACCGCGAAGTATAACTGGATCCTGGCCATCACCACCATCGCATTCGTCTTCAGTGCCTTCGGTAACGGTGCCAACGATGTCGCCAATTCGTATGCCACCTCCGTCGCGGCCCAGACTCTCAACATGGCCACGGCCGGTGTCCTGGCTGTCTTCACCGAGTTCATCGGTGCAGTAGCCATGGGTAAACGAGTCAGCGATACGATCAAGAACGGAATCATCGGAATCGAGCGATTCGATGGAAAGCCTGGTGCGCTCATGTTGGCCATGGGCTGTGCCGAAATTGGCAGTGCTACGTGGTTGATGTTCGCCACCGGCATGGGATGGCCTGTCTCGACAACGCAGACCATCGTCGGTGCCCTCATTGGTGTTGGTTTTGCCTCCCAGGCTGAGATTAAGTGGGCATGGACCAAAGGCAGTGTGTCACAGGTCGCTGCATCTTGGGGTATTGCCCCTCTCATCGCAGCTGCATTCTCAGCTATCATCTTCGGTACTCTCAAGTACAGTGTCCTCGAACGTCAGGATTCTTTCAAGTGGGGCATGCGCATGATTCCAGTCTACCTTGCCTTTACCGGAGCCGTCCTCGCCCTCTTCATCGTCATCGAAGCCCCTACAGCCCCCTCTCTGGAAGAGTTTGGCACCGGCAAGGCGGTCGGTATCATTTTGGGCGTGTTCTTCGGCTGTCTCCTTATTGCCTATGTCTTCTTCAGGCCATACTTCGTCCGCCGTCTCGTCCGAAATGACACCCGCATCAGGTTCTGGCACCTCCCTCTCGGTCCCCTCCTGCTGTCGGAAAACCCGCCCCTATACTTCCCTGGAAAGGGCGATCAGGTCGTGGCCAACTACTACGAAGATGCATACGGTGAAGTGCTGGCCGGCCACAAGAACGAAGAGAAGGAAAAGGCCACATCTAATGCCGACTCTGTATTGCCTACTCCCGAGATTACAGCGATGTCCAATTCGTCGCACGTCGGTGAGGACGAGGAGAAGATCACACCGCAGGCCGAGCCACGGAAGAAGCGCCTTGAACCCACTGAACGTTTCATCGACCCTGTCCGCGACCTCTCCTGGGCAAACCCCCGAAAGGCCTGGGGTTATCTTAAGTACCTTTTCCTTCAGGGTGTGACGCGTGATGTGGTTACACACGACTCGGCTCACCTGCGGGCAATCCACGCACGTGCCAACCGGTATGACGACCGCGTCGAACATCTCTGGACATACTGCCAAGTTGTGTCGGCTATTATGATGTCTATTGCCCACGGTTCGAATGATGTGGCCAACGCTGTTGGTCCTTGGGCTGCTGTGTACAGCACATTCAACTCTGGATTTGTCAACACCAAGGCACCCACTCCGGTCTGGTTCTTGGTTGTTGCTGGTCTGCTGCTCGGTATTGGATTCTGGTTCTACGGTTACCACATCGTTCGTGCGCTTGGAAACAAGATTACGCAGATGTCCCCCACCCGTGGTTTCAGTGTTGAGCTTGGAGCGGCTATCACCGTCATGTTGGCTTCCAGACTTGGCTTGCCCGTCTCCACCACCCAGTGCTTGACTGGTGCTTCTATGGGTGTCGCTCTCATGAACTACGATCTTGGCGCCGTCAACTGGAGGCAGCTTGCCTTTATCTTTGGTGGATGGGTCTTGACTTTGCCTTGTGCTGGATTGATCTCGGGTCTCCTTTGTGTGATGGCATTGAATGCTCCTCACCTGTAGATAGGTATATTGGTTCCTGGCATTGTTAGCCTTGCTTGGCCACGAACAGAACGTGTTGTAATAAAGGCCTATTTGATTATTATTTCCAATGTTATTATTATATTGACACTGTACCCGAAAAGAACAATAATCTAAATACGAGAAAGAAAAGACCACTTATCGCCGGACATGTTCAGGTTTATGCGTAGACGTTGAATAATCTTAAATCGTCACGATCCAGTCGAACGTCGGGTATCCTTCTGAAAAAATAAGAAAGTATGATCCCCTATTTGGTGCGCTTGTAAATCTTGCCAAGGAAAGCCTCGAAGACTTCCTTCTTCAGACCCTTGGACTCATCGACGGCCGCGATCTTCTTGCGCAGCTCGCCAACAACCTTCTCCTCGTACTCCTTGTACACTTTCTCCAGCTGAAGCTCGTTGAAAAGAGCTTTCACCTTGGCCTCCTCAGTAGCGTCCTTGCGGCCGTAGGAAGCATCCAGGAGCTGGCGCTGCTCGGGAGTGCAGCGCTGGATGGCCTGGTTAACGAGCCAAGAGCACTTGTTGTCCTGAATATCGGTACCAATCTTGCCAATGACAGATGGGTCACCGAAGTTGTCGAGGTAGTCATCCTGGATCTGGAAGTATTGGCCCAGAGGAATGAGGATGTCATGGGCTTGCTTGAGATTTTCCTCGGTAGCCAACTGCAGGTACATAAGGGCCAGGGCGACAGGCAAGTAGAAGCTGTAGTAAGCCGTCTTGTAGGTGACGATGAACATGTACTTCTCCATGGAGAAGTTGTCGAGGTTGACATTGTCCTCGGGGGCGGTGATAAGGTCACAAAGTTGACCCAGCTCAGTTTGCCAGGTGGTCTCGTGGAAGAGCTCGACGAGGTCAATGTAGGCGGGGTGCGAGCGGAAGCGCTGCTTCAGGATGAGGTAGATACCCGCCTCCAGCATGAAGGCGTCGTTGATCGCGATCAGGCCGACACCCTCCTGGCGGTACCAGCAGGGCTGACCACGGCGGGTGATAGAGGAGTCCATCATGTCGTCGCTGACCAGGAAGAAAGCCTGGAGCAACTCAGTCATCCAACCCAAGATACTGAGGTGCTCGAATTGCTCTTCGGTCAGGGGCTGCTTCAGGAGAGCAAGGCCAGTATCAGGGACCGAGAGGCCACGGTTGAGCTTACCGCCGGGAACATTGGCATTGAGGGACTATGCAGCGCAATTAATATGTCAGTCAGATCTTTCCTCAAGAACAGTCAACCAAGAGGGGTTGCTTACCTTCTCGAACCACTCAAGCGCATTGTCAGGGAGGTTGTATCGCTTTGCATGAGCGATGATATCCTGGGCCAACGAAGGAAAAATGGCCTCAAAGTCGGCGCGCTTGGTAGTAGAAGCCATGATGGTAAGTGTTGTAAGAGCGTCAATGATCTCACATGTAGGACGAAAACATTCCCAATAATAAAAGGACCTTCCCCGCGGAGGGACCGTTTGTCCTGTTTGCCCTGTTTGCCCTGTTTGCTGTCATGTTGCCGTTTCTCCAGGCGCAACCCAGGACGACGTGGATTCTTCAAGGCCATTAAACGATCTTCACCTTGTTTTAGAATTTGTGAGCATCTATAGCTTGCCCGGGATCTTTGCTACTCTGCTTTCGTTCTTTCCGGGTGCGCGCGTTGCTGTCTCACCAACGCGACGAGCGCCAAGACCATTTATTTACACCACCACCTTTGCAAGTCGAGTTGGGATTGAACCTCTGCTCGGTGAGCTTCTTTCAACTAAAAGAAGCATGAGATTTTCGAACAACGTCTTGATACACTGAAAGCTCCATCGGCGCCACAAAGCTGTGTTTGAACACTCCCCCGGAACACCTCCGCCTGCGACAAAGACGCTCGTCATGGAAGAACCTATGGATGACGGAATCCGGGAGCTTATGTACCAGCTGGAAAATGCTGCAATTAAGTGCTCTGAGCGATGTCTTTACCAATCAGCAAAATGGTACAACTGAGAAGCTTCATTCGAAAAGTCCTGATGTACTAATGATGTTGATGGACCCAGGGCCGCTGAAATGCTTGATTCCCTCCGGCCTTTAGATCACGAAGACACTGATCTCGAGTCTCCTATGGAGATTTCAGATCCCCCTCCGCAACCAACCAACCCTTACCTCAAAGTGCGCGACCCAATAGAAGCTGCCCTTGAATCGCAAGAATCCTACAAATACCTGCTCGCCAAATCTTACTTCGATACCCGTGAATATGACCGATGTGCGGCCGTATTCCTCCCTCCGACAACACCACCTGTTCCTTTGTCAATTACCTCGCCCAACTCCAAGCCGAGGCCATCGCGGACTTCACTCAAGGGCAAGGACAAAGCTTCACCGTTTCAAAGCTCAAAGGCACAAAAGACCCAAATACCCCAAAATCCATATCCAAAACTCAGTCAGAAATCGCTCTTCCTTGCCCTGTACGCAAAATATTTAGCCGGAGAGAAGCGCAAGGAAGAGGAAACGGAGATGGTGTTAGGTCCAGCAGATGGTGGGATGGCGGTCAATCGCGAGTTGTCAGGTCTCGCTAGAGGATTAGATGGATGGCTATCTGAACGAACCGCCCAGGGGTTGGATGATAGGGGTCAGGGATGGTTGGAGTATCTCTATGCTGTGGTCTTGTTAAAAGGACGGAATGAGGAGCTGGCAAAGAAATGGCTCATCCGCTGTGTGCATCTCAATCCATACCATTGGGGTGCCTGGCAAGAACTGAACGACCTCGTGGGCAGCACGGAAGACGTAAGTTACATATGTATCCTCAAAATTTCCTTCGGTCGGTACTAATTTAACCAGTTGAAACAAATCCTTGAACTTCTGCCACAAAACGTCATGAGCTTAATATTCTACGTCTACTGCAGCCAGGAGTTGTACCAGGCCACGGAGGACACGTACAGGTCACTCTCTGAGCTGCAGTCAATGTTCCCAGAAAGCGCATTCCTCAAAACACAACACGCGTTGTTGTTATATCACTCGAAAGGTAAAATGCCCCGGCCCAACGCGCGCTTGATGCGTGGTCTAATATCATTCAGACTTCGAAGAAGCATCCCATATTTTCGAAGGCATTCTGGCCACATCCCCCCACCGCTTAGACGGCCTAGATCACTATTCGAACATCCTTTACGTGATGGACCAGCGACCTCAACTTGCGTTCATCGCTCAGGTCGCAACGGCCACGGACAAATTCCGCCCAGAAACCTGCTGCGTTGTTGGTAACTACTACTCATTGAAATCCGAGCATGAGAAGGCAGTAATGTACTTCCGACGTGCCCTCACCCTCGATCGGAACTTCTTATCTGCATGGACCCTCATGGGCCATGAATACATCGAGATGAAGAATACTCACACCGCCATCGAGTCGTACCGTCGAGCTGTGGATGTCAATCGCAAGGACTACCGCGCCTGGTACGGTCTCGGACAAGCCTACGAAGTCTTAGACATGTCTTTTTACGCCTTGTTTTACTACCAGCGCGCCGCAGCCCTACGTCCGTACGATCCAAAGATGTGGCAGGCAGTCGGATCGTGCTACGCAAAGATGGGCCGAGTGGAGCAGAGTATTCAAGCTCTGAAGCGTGCATTGGTGGCTGGATCATTACAACCAGATGATGGGGGGCAACCAGGCACCGGCGCAAGCCCTGGCTCTGGGAGTCGTAAGATCCTTGACCCAGAAACCCTGCACCAAATCGCGACACTGTACGAACGTCTCGGCGACGAAGAGGAGGCCGCTGCATACATGGAACTCACTCTCCAACAGGAGTCTGGCGCTCCTGCTAATGAAAACCCTGATGACGATGAGTCCTCTGCCTCGGAGCCTGGCCTTCAAAGCGATGCCGAGATTGAGCATTCAGGAGACGAAGACCTTGATCTGTCGCAACGGCATCGCCGTAATCGCAAGTCTCGCGCAAAGGCTGAATCATTTGCTATGCAGAATGATGACTCCATTGTTAGTGAGACGTGGAACGGTACCGGTGTTACAGCAACTACATCCAAGGCACGGTTGTGGTTGGCACAATACGCGTCACGGAACGGTGATCTTGACCGTGCGGACCAGCTAGCAAGCGAGTTGTGCCAGGATGGAATTGAGGTCGAGGAGGCCAAGGCATTGATGAGGGACGTCCGGGCGAGGAGGGAGGATGCGAGCTAATTACATCGATTAAATGAGATATGGATGGATTACCATGAGAGCGAAACATCCATGAGTTTTATTGGTCTCTATGAATAATAGCTGCGATCGTGACGCTCATTTTCACCTCGCAGAGGCAAGGCCAGCCAGCATTAGCGGTGACTATTTCTGTATGAAGAGTGTTCGCGTCTAATATAATTTTCATCATAAAAGGACAAGGGGGTATCAAGTATATAAAACATGAGCTAAAGGTTCGATCGAGGTATACTCGCCCAACACAGTAATGGCTGTTTCATCGAAGGTCATCTCAATCCATAGGGCCCTTGGTCCAAAGCGCGGAGCCTCTGGCGTCTCTTTTGGCATGTCACAACGACGGTGACCCGATTCAGAGCGTAGTTTCTCTCTTCCGACGGATATACCATCAGATCGCTCGCTGAGTCTCCATGAAAGGCATCCATAGAAATGATCACGTCCAATAGTTGCCCACGTATCACGCAAGCAGAAACGAAGGTCACCGGGGCGTATATCACGTTCCAACATGCTTGACCCCAAAAAGAATATGCTTCCCACGGAGGGGACTGGACTTGTTCCAGTATGGACGAAACTGGAAAGGGTTGTGGCAAGACGGTGCATTTCTCCCCCTAGCTGAGTTGCTTTGGGATTGAATAGGACAATGCCAAACCCTGTCCCCTGTGACGCGGCATAGGGGTTTGATTGGTGGAGGGAAGAAGCAGATTCACCAGAGCAGAGATACCGAACAAATTCATCCAAATGACAAGATTCGTGATCGTTGTTTGATTTTTCATCAATTTTGGGAAGCGTAAAACTACCTAGTGAGGTTTCAGGTGTCCATATGGGGATCGTTGTCAAAGGAGATTGGGGTGACATCTTGCGTTTGTGCTTGGATGATGTTGACACCACTAGCTTGTCTGAAAGCCGTTCCTGCGCCTCGTGTAATTCCTGGGAGCGGTCTTCGTGTGCGGATATGAAAGTACTTGTCCACACGGGACGTACAAAGCCCGAGGATTTCTGCGATGCGATCTTTCCATCCTTCTGGCTGGAATGTTGACGCGACGACAGGTTCCCGTTGTCGACGAGTAGAATGTTTTCAAGAACAGGATTTTCATCTTGCGTGGGAGGCATTTTCTCATCAATGTAGACTAGTGGAGACAGTGGATGGCCATTGTATGATCTATCCTGGCTCCCTTTCCGTATTGAATCTTCACGCAGCCCTTCCATTAATGGACATGCGTCCATAACACTTTCTTCAGAAGAAGTAGCGGCTAAAACCTCGGATGACGGGGAATTCATTTCCTCGTCGGTGTCTGAACAAGTCGCTTCCGGGCTTGGAGATCGCACAATGCACTGATTAAGTCCACTACCAGCCTTGAGGCGTCTTGACCATTTCTCGCGTTCTTCCAGTTCATCCGCAGGCACAGCCCGGGCATGTTCTGCTGAAAGCTGTAGTTCTTGGAATGACGTACATTCTTCCAGCGCTCTGTCCGAGTGTATTTTCAAAATCCGAGGAAATCGAAGTGTGGAATATCTTGCGCCAGACGGCTTTTCAAATCCACTGCCCAACATCTCGACGATGAACGGTTGCTTGAACAAGGTGGTTGCAGGGGGAATGGCCTGGTGCCCGTAATCAATGTGAAAACCTTTGAAAGTTTCAGGTTGACGTGCATAAAACTCGCCGATTTGATTGAGGGTCTGCATGGTCTGAATGCTCATGCAGTGTCGGTTAATCACGTCGACGATTCGGAAACGCGGCAAAGCATCGCCCTGTTTGACATGATCCGGGTTCAGGAGACAAGCAACAAGAAAGTGAGTCCATTTGAGTCCTTTTATTTGCCCCAAATCAGGAGCGTCCCGCGTGTTGTAGCTAGCTCCGACCAGCGCGAGGTCTAATGTGTCTCCAAGACCGGGTATATAATCTTTCTTGAGTTTGATCCATCGGCCAGGGATATGATCCGTACCAGTGGAGTATGTCGGAAAATAAGGCTCATCAGAAGCCTTCAAGACAAAGCCCTCCCAACGTTTAGTAATTGCTTTCTCGAAAGTCCGTTCGAGCCGATGGTAGCTATCAACTCGGTTGAAGTCCAGGACTTCCTGATAGGCGAGGTCCGCTCGGCCTGGGACGGTCTTTACCACTTGCTGTAGGAGTAGTCGTCTCTCCCGATGAGGCTTGGCAAGGCATACGTCGTTATCGAGGAGAAGAATGTCAAAGAACATGATCATCAAGTGCTCGTACGGTTGCGGCCTGTATAAATCAGCAAAAAGACCTATAATTTAGAAGGAATCGTTATTTACGGAGAATCATTATCAACGCCAATCAAAATGCCAGATCGTGGAATGAACCTCCGAATTCTGTTGAAGTCCATCAGTTCACAATTCTGGCCATTCCATACAAGCAGCTCTCCCTCAACGATACAGCGGTGCGCAAATTTGCAGTCAGGCAATCCAGCGCGGAGCGATTCCTCTATCACAGGTATGATCTTATCTTTATCTGCAGTCGAGTCCTTACCACTTTTGGAGAAGATCTGAACGGGGGTATACTTGTTAGAGAGATCAACGTGAATCTGACAGTATTCACCATCGTATTTCCGTTCAATGCTCATTCGACGACCGTTGGCCATTTGGTGACAATGCTTGATACTTCGAGCTTTGTAATAATCGGGTCGCCCGACCTTGATACCAGGCCGAGGGCGCATATGTTGTAGAGCAATGATGCTAAGACTCCGAGCTGCTTGGGGATCCGGGTTTGGAGGGAAGTGGTTTATTGGGTCTGAAGCGAGCATCTCCAACGCCCCTTCAAAGGAGTTTTGAAGCTGGAGCAGTTGCGGCAGAAGAAAGTGAAATCTCTTCAGGGTGTACTTTTCTGGGAAAACGACGGGGGAGTAGCTTTTGAGAATCATGCGAGTGAGCCATTTGGCATCGCGGCTACTTGACCGACGGTACAGTTTTGATAGAGTTTGTTCCACATCCACAGCTGTACGATTCCGACGGGTCTGAGGGCCAGAGAAGCGGCAACGTGATGCAAGCATACCCATGGCGCGGTCAATTTCTTCTACCGACAACTCCTGGCCGGCCGGAATATAATTCTCGGCTTGCCGCATGACAACTTCGACACAACCTCCGAGATCGGAACCACCAGGGCTTTGCCATCCGTTGAGTTCGGAAAGTCGCGACGATCCCAAGCCCAAGCAACGGCCGATGACTCTTGATAGCTGCGTGGCTTGCAGCCAGTATACTCGGTCCGTTCGTTTTTCGGGGAACATGCACCGAAGCAACGCCACACGGTCTGTATCAGCATTATGAATGAGTCGTCCATATTGAGAGAACCACCGGGCGACTGTTCTGATATCAGGATTCTCGTTCCTGGCCGCCGTGGATGCATGGGCTGTTCTGCTGTCATCTAGGCTGGACAACAGATCACACAAGTGGGTGAATTTGAAGCCCATGGCCCATATCCACGCGAGTCACCTAGTGGCTCTGCGTAAAACTGCGGAAAATTTTGAGGTGTATTCAAGTCGGTCAAAAACTCGACTCGGGACTTGACCATCCGAACGCGAAAAGAGGAAAGAGCGAGCACACGTGTGCACGTGACCACTTTAGCCCCAGATGGAGAACTATACGGAGTGAATCGGGTGACATTGGGAAAGACAGGTGAATCTTTGTCATTTTGAGGGTTTCTAAACTAGAATACCCAAGGGCGAAGTAGAAGACTACTACGATTGATATCAACTAGCGGACAATTTAAAACATCTTACTTGATCCATTATCCAGTAGTAATAACTATACACGACCAGGCGCATTTGATGGGCCAGAGAGAGATCAATATGAATATATTGAGATATATGAACATGACCCAGAAAAGGAAAGGAAGAAAGGAAAGTGAGTGACTATGTACTACCAAGCGCTCTCAAGAATTTCTTCTGCGCATCCTCAGTACCTCGTTTGCAATTTTCTACAATTTCTTCCAGCTCGTCACATATCTGGGATGCCTTGGCCCCATGGATCTTTACTTGCCCTGCCTGGAAATTGTCGGGGGTAGCAGTCCCATGTGTCAAGTCCCAGAAACCAGTTTGCATGATAGGATCAATAAAGAAGTCTGGTGAGGTTTTTCTGAAGTGCTCTTTGTAGAACAGGATGGATGAAGTCATAACTAAATAGATGAGAGGTCAGCGTTATCCGACAAAGACAAGACAATCGGTGAGGGTGTAATGAGTGTACCGTGACAGGATGCCAATCTCTCCTGTGAATCTTTTCTCGAGATTTCCATCTTCATTCGTCTCGAGAAACGATCCACTTTAACGACAACGAGAACATTGTCAAAGGAACACGTAGTATCTATAGAATCCTTGAGAAACTCGAGATTCTCAACCAGCCTGGATCAATAAAAAAGGGTTAATATTTGCCAGAGAAAGCTGTACCCAAGGAGCCCAACCTACCATTCGGCTTTAGTCTCGAAATTGTCCACCCCTTGCGCTCCAATTGATCTCCATTCTCTAGTGGTGTCTTGCAAACGGTGGTACAAATCAAGGAGCTCTATCATCCAGTTAGTAAAGCAATATGCAGTCATTTATGATTACCTCACCGTCTAGAGAGCCAAGAGTTGCTGATATGGTACGTATGGATTTCCCATCCTGATTTGTGAACACAAGCGCTTCAGATCCCACTATCTGGATATCAAGTTCAAGGACTGTAACTGTGAGACTGGATCATTTCAGGTTTGATCTTTAGAAGTTGCTTACTGTTTTCCTTGAATACCACCGCCTTCTCGTTATTTGGTTTGGTTCCGCACACAAGCATGAGAGATTCACCCTCGACAGGATAATCGAGGTATAGATATGGATAGATGTATGACTTTTCAGTCCCATCTGCATACCCTATTTGAACATTTTGAACCCTACCCGAGTTAACAAAACTTATATATTACGGAATGCTCCAGGTATACCTTTTTTGATAGGGCGAATGATGATAAAACTCGTTTGAAAGGGCAAATGGAAGATCCATGCGTTGAAGATATCGGATACCATAGAGATGGCCTAAGAATTTCTCCCGATCTAATGGATGTGTTAGTCTTCTAGGCCTTTTAACTTGAGCATTCTGCCTACATTGGACACTGTCAAAGTTGACGAGCACCTGTTGAGAATCTGTGTTGGATTTCAATGCAAATTGTTCCAGGGCGAGATGGAAATGCTCATTGTCATCGCGTTTGTCAAGCTCGTTCAGGGGGCACACGCCACCCTTGACGTTGCTTTGCGCAATAATAAGACTGGATTTCCCTACTGGGACAACAAAGCGCTCGTTGGATTGTGTCATCGAAGCTGCATAATGTCAGTAGTAAACGTATTAGGCAGGCAAATACTTACATTCTTCCAGCTGCATGAAATATAAATCTCCAGGTGTAGGCCCTTTGAATAAAATATGCGCTCGAATAGGCGTGAGCATCTCGTTCGCTGGATGTCTCTCCCAGCTACAGAAGAGGCTGATTTTCTTCTGTCCGACAGGTCTGAATTGTAATAAGTTAGACATGGATGGATAGATACACTGTGGGTATCTCACATTTCACAAATACAAACAAGCCCTGCACTGTTGAGATCCGGGGCATCTTTGCCTTCGTCCTGGTTTATTCCGAAAATGCCGGGATTAGTCCAGTCAGTGGTATTTGGCCCTTGGATGACGTATGAAACACCGGTACTGGAGCTCTCGGCATCTGACTGTCCGTCTTCTGAATCGCTTGCTTGCGAGGGTGCAGGGTCTGCAGGGTCTGCCTCGAAACCCGCTAGCTTCTTTCTCCACGACAAAGGTGTCCGAGTCGTGGGAGCGGCGGGGGATGTGAGTAATAACTTTTTTTGAAGTTGAACCACCACATCTTCAATCTTCGCCGTCGTAGTACTTTTGAGCTTTGTTGGTAACTCCCATATCGAGCGTTGGGATCACATACCTCGTTTGGACAGACAATAACAAATCTAGTGAAAGCTTATAGCTCTCGACCTTTCTCAATGAGTCCTGGATCTCCTTCTCTTTGAGCGTCCACTTGACTTTCTTCTTGAGTGCCTCGAGTCTTGAGCTTGACACCAGTCCTTTCAAGGACTTCTCCAGCTGTAGATACGTGTCACCACAGTCGTCCAAAGTAGCGTTGAGTGCATTAAGCCATTCTGAGTTCTTGGCGGCTTTGGCGGACTGAAACTGAACAATCTGTTGAATCTGCGATAGGATTCCCCTCACAGCGTGGACCTCTCTGGACAGCGAGTCTAGCTCTTTATTGTTCTTTGAGTTCACTGTGTGGATGATTTGGACGATCTGGGTCGATATGGTGATGAGACCAGCCAAAGAGGCGGCAATAGAAAGGGGGTCCATTGCAGATGTCTTTAGCGCTGAGATAGTACTGAGCAGGGTACTGCAGAGTAGCTGGGCGATGCATTTTAATACACTCGTGGCATGCAGATGCGCGACGGGACACAGTACTCGCTTAGACTTTGAGGCTGTCCTTGGCGACCTCGTATCTGCACTAACACGGATGGAGTATTTTTAGCGTGCTCCGTTCGCACATGATGTTAACCCCAATCCTCGAGTAGCCCATCGAATGGAGGATATGTGGATAGGGATATTTTAATGTTGCGTGGGAAAATGTTCCTTAAGCATGCCTCCAACGGTAAAAATAGACACAGATGACCAGGTAAAACTTAGGCCCGTACCCTAAATGCGACGGAATCGGCGGATCTGATACGAGGCCCCATACTCTGAAATTCGTGTGGAGTATGGAGTAATTCTTCTATCTTGCATACATATAACCGTGCCAAGCGCCCAAGACCGTACCTAGCTTGAGACTAGACCAAATGATGTCAGTCATACTCGTAGCCATCCTTGTCACGGACTCGCTGAGGTTGTTACTGCCGAAAAGAATGATATGAGTTCTAGTTGTAAATCAGACAATTGGGTGTTTTAGTCGTAACAGTAAGCTTGTGGAAGTCGAAATGACAAATGTGTGCCCAAGTCCAAGCCTCATGGGGTTGAAAAACTATGTATTCGCCGAACACCGAGCCATTTGTATGAAATCAAAGACGCCAGGTGGGAACAAAAAGGAGAGAAAACATGAAGCCCTTTCCCTTTAGAGAATGCCCTGCTTTTGCAAATCCAAGTAGATCCTTTCGGGCATAACGTTACCCTCTGCGTCCTCCATTTGAACTACGTTGTCGCGTGACTCTCTCTCCTTCTTCCTATCCTTCTCCAGCTGCTCCCAAAGCGACTGGGCCTCATTGATACTGGTGATCTCACGGAAGAGATTGGTATTGGAGGTAATGCCGAGGCACTTCAGTCCGTAGATGTGGAGGTTTTCAGAGAAATGTTTGTCAAATGCTCGTCGACCCATATAGGTGTAGTTTCCGCAAATTTCGCACTGGTATTCGACACCGAGTCCATGGAGCTTGTAGAGCCAGAACGGAATAGGCTTTCCATCCCATGCCAGTGGCAATTTCAATGGGTTGTAAACGATCTCCTCGTCCTCTTCCTCCGATTCTTCGCCGGCACGAGGCTCGGGACCCGTGTGATCGAGCCCAGCCTGCACAGCCTCCCATTCCATTTGGCGTTCACGTTCAGTCATACCCTGTCGGCGCTCAACATTGATTCTTGTCGCTTGTCGCTCCTCGCTCAGGACATTCGTCAAGGATCGGATTTGGTGTTCGCGTCGTGCAACTGCACGCTCCTTGAGGCTATGGGCTAGAGACGCGCCTTGGGATGCAGATGGCTTCTCGTCGGATGTGCCTGCGGCTTTGCGGGCTTCTGCCGCTCGAATGTGTTTCTTGCCGGTCAAGTGACTCCGGTACACGTTCTCGTTCTTAAATTCCTTCTCACAATCCGCGCACCAAATGCCCTCGCCGGTCCCTTCGGTTGCTGGGCCGGATGTACCATTCTCAGACTTTTCTTCTGTCCAGCCCGGGACCTCCTTCGCAACCCATTTATTTTCGAATTCCTGGTCGAAGCTGGCGAAAAGCTCGTTCAGGGGTTGCAATGGCTGAACTCTCTTGATGAAACCTTCTAGATAGCTAGAAAGTTCGCCAACATAGCTGAAGTAGCGATCGGAGAGCTTGTCTTTCCGCTTAATTGGCATGGCGGGCGGTGTGAAGGAGTCGAAGATGTCGAGATATTGGACGTATGACAAGCGCTTAACCCCGGGAAGATTCAGGTAATCTTCATGAAGCATTGTGAGATCCAGGTACTGTCCAAACCCTTCTTCGCCAGTGAACATATTATCGATTGCGGTGCGGGGAGCCTCTCCTTCGCCGGGCTGACGGCGGTTGTATGCTTGCTCGAGGTTCTCGATTGGTTCGTTCGGGTAACGCTTGTGGTGCTCTTTGATTTCCCCCAGCTGCTTGTAGAACTCCTCGAATTGGTCGCCTGTTGAAATAGACTGCACTTCTTTCTCCCGCAGTCCATCGGCATCCTCGTAAATCTCCAGGAGTCGCTGGGACTGGCTCTCAATTCTGTCTAGGAATTGGGAGACTTCGTGGTCGCGAGCCAAACGGCCTCGGGCCTGACGAATTGTCAAGTTAGAAAACGTGACAGACATTGTTCGGCGGCATACTTACATTTCGGGGCTCCTCCGCCACGCGATCAGCGATAGCCTGTTCCAGCCGCTCTAGATCCTCGTGGATGAACCTTTGGTCTTCGAGCAACATATTTTCAATATGACTGCTTCGTAAGAACTGAATTTTATCGGCGCGCAAAGAGTGTTGACAAAGTTTCGTGGTGATCGCAAAAGACGTTGGCAATCGGCAGCTCCAACTTGCGGGAAGGTCATGTGACCCGAACCTTTCCACCGCGAAAAGTTAGGCCGAACCTCACTTACTTCTTCAGGCTTCACTCTTCGTGAATCCCGATATCATTTATTATCTGACGCTGAAATACTCACATTTACATCATGGCCGATGGAATCGACAGACGCGCGGAGGGTATGTGGTTACAAACTTGGCGCAAGATGAAGCATGCTAACAGCAACTAGAGCGCATGGAGTTCAACACCTCCAAGGAGGTGACGGTCGCGCCGACCTTCGAGGACATGCACTTGAAGGAAAGCCTGCTTCGCGGAGTCTACGCTTACGGATACGAATCGCCTTCGGCTGTGCAATCCCGCGCGATTGTTCAAATCTGCAAAGGTCGCGACACTATTGCCCAGGCCCAGTCCGGTACTGGTAAAACTGCCACATTCGCGATCAGTACCTTGCAGATCATTGATACTGTTGTGCGCGAGACCCAAGGTATGCATTTCTCCCATCTAATCTGATCAGATCCAATCCTAACCACGATCCGGTTTGTAACAGCTCTGGTGCTCTCCCCGACCCGTGAACTCGCAACTCAAATTCAATCCGTCGTTATGGCCCTGGGTGATTACATGAACGTCCAGTGCCACGCTTGCATTGGAGGAACCAACGTTGGCGAAGATATCCGCAAACTCGACTACGGCCAGCACGTTGTCTCGGGCACTCCTGGTCGTGTGGCTGATATGATCCGTCGCCGAAACCTGCGGACACGTCATATCAAGATGCTCGTTCTCGACGAAGCCGATGAGCTCCTTAACCGCGGTTTCCGTGAGCAGATTTACGATGTTTACCGCTACCTGCCCCCCGCGACGCAGGTCGTCGTGGTCTCTGCCACACTCCCATACGATGTCTTGGACATGACCACAAAGTTCATGACCGACCCCGTCCGTGTCCTGGTCAAGCGTGACGAGTTGACACTAGAGGGTATCAAGCAATACTTCATTGCCGTTGAGAAGGAGGAATGGAAGTTCGACACACTTTGCGACCTGTACGATACGTTGACTATCACCCAAGCCGTTATTTTCTGCAACACCCGCCGAAAGGTCGACTGGCTTGCCGACAAGATGCGTGAGGCCAACTTCACTGTCTCCAGTATGCACGGCGAGATGCCTCAGAAGGAGCGTGATAGTATTATGCAAGACTTCCGTCAGGGCAATTCGCGTGTCCTCATTTCTACTGATGTCTGGGCCCGTGGTATCGACGTCCAGCAAGTCTCTCTTGTTATCAACTACGACCTGCCTACCAACCGTGAGAACTACATTCACCGTATTGGTCGATCTGGACGATTCGGCCGCAAGGGTGTGGCCATCAACTTTGTCACCAGCGATGATGTCCGCATCCTTCGCGACATTGAGTTGTACTACTCCACCCAAATTGACGAGATGCCAATGAACGGTAAGCCAATCATATATATTATTTATGCTCCTATGCTAATGATATTATTCCAGTTGCGGACTTGCTTTCATAATCTCCACTGCCCAGTATTGTGATTGTAACATCTTTCCTTACGCCAAAAGGGACTTGGCTTCGTCCCCTCTGATGTCTTCTGCAAGTGGACTGCGCTCGCATTGTCCTATTCAATAGGACTCGGAATCCGGCACGATGGATTTGAGGGAAATGAAAGGCCAGCTCTAGCGTGGAGGAAAGGGATAATAACATATTTCAGTAAGTCAAATGACTGCCACTCACTTATTATCCAATGCTAACAATCCGGGATAGTTTGCAAAAATGCCAGCCGATTTACGCACCCCAGGAGGTGTTTACGATTTTGCTTTTTCCAAAAATTTCGGGCTTCCGGCCTAAGTAGCAGGGACTTTTTCTTTATGTTTGGAGTTTCTTCTTTTATTTTACTTTTTCGACTCTAGGAATCATGAATGATGGAATCAATTTTATTGTATAACGTGGCCCTGCTTCTTGGCCGCAAGTCTTCTAGTCTGGCAGTATAAATTTGAACCAGTAGTGAGAAAAGGAAATGACATTGAGACATACATACAAGGAGTGGAAAGTGCAATGTTTCAGCTACTTGTCAATAAGTCTGTTGCTCTATTGCTGCGCGAGTTAGTCCTACAGGTCGAAGAGATAGGAACGAGGAGTATAAATAGTAGATTCGATTCATTGCAACAAAACACGTTGAATAAGAGATGACCAAGAAAGCCCCCCAAAAGCAGAACCCAACTGAGGACTGGACCAAGGACAGAACATATGTACTCCTAAAAACCCAGAAAGATACGGACCAACGCCAGCTTCCTGTATTGAAAGAAATAGATGCTAGCTGCAGAGAGTAAACAGCATAAGGAGTGGAGGCGGACTCAAGCGATGTATATGCGCAAGACACATGATGAGGATATGCCGGGCAGTTGAGGCAAGAGAAGGACACAGAAGAGAATTCAAGAAGAACAAGGAAAACATTGCTAAGACAGCAGGTTTATCGTCTTTCAATCCAAAGCTCCGGGTATGTTCCCTCAATCAAGTACGGTATTGTGGGGAAACTAAATAAAGACAGGCAACAAGCAGGAACAAAACTGCCTAGGTGAGATTGCGG